TCAGGACCAGAGAGCCCAGCCACAGCCCTGCAGAAGCCCAGGGCGTGCACGCTCCCATTGGTTCTTGGGGGGGACCCTGTAGCAGGGGCCTATATTGGCCCTAAGCATTTGTTTACAGAGATTTGACATTTGACATTTTTAATTAAAATTACATTTCATTATATTCTGGTTTCAATAACTCAGAGTTTCTCTATTTCTATTCAGCTTAGCTGGCTCCCATGGTATTCACTCCTAAACAAATACTTCATTGTTATCAAATACAATATCGATTACTCAAGATTCAGCATCATTCCCCATCATTAGGCATTTAGACCCCTCTTCAAAGATCGCTCACACAAAGATAAAAATCAAAGAAGACTGATTTTTCCTAAGCTGCCCTATGATGGTTAATTTTATGTTTCAACTTGGTTAGGCTGTCTGAGCACCCAGCACCCAGTTGTTCCATAAACCAGCAAGCCATCTAGGAGATGCCAGGAAGTACTTTGAAGATGTGATTGCCATCACTGTGGGCATTTCAGAATAGGCACTCACCTCCCGATGATGAGCACGCTTCCCCTGACATGTGAAGGCTTCCAGAGCAAAGACACAGAAGGAGCAACTGTCTCAAAAATCGCAGTGTCAGTGCCCAGCCTGCTGCTGGACATAGAGGCCTCAGCCTTGTTAGGCCCACAGGCACGTGAATAACACCAGCACCCCACCCCACCCTCACCCCCGGGAAGAAAATCCTCTCTACTGCAAGTCTGCCCTGACAGTTACAGTGTGACACCTGGAAGAATAGAGGCAGGAGAGAATATCTTCAAGGTAGTATCGTTAACCTTTCTCTACAGGGCTCACAAACAGAAAGAAAGAAAGAAAGAAAATGACAAGTAAAGGAGGACACAGGAAAAGGAGGCAGAAAAATATAACACTCCCATACTTGAACTCACTATTTCAGATGACTGTGTGTGTGTGTGTGTGTGGTGGGGGTGTGGTGGGGTGATCAGGGCACAGAGGCAGAGAACTTGGACTGCAAAGGGTCCTAGCTCAACCATTGATCTATTGTGTGACCACGGGCAAGCCTGCCAATCTAGACAAAGCAAATCGATGGGAGAGGCCAAGAAGAAGGGATGTAGAGAAATGGACTAACCGGAAACCTGAACAGACCATTCTCACTATCAGACAGAACAAATGGGCAGAGAAATCAGTAAAAATGTCAAATAACAATCAGCAAAGTAGAGATTTTGATCGATATTAAACACTTCTGGTGGCACTGTGGACTAAACATTAGACTGCTAACTACAGGTTTGGCAGTTCAAACCCACCAGCTACTCTGGAAGAAAGATGAGGTTGTCTGTCCTCAGAAAGATTTGGTCTTGGCAACCCTATCTAGGGATGCTCTGAGTTGGAATCACCTCAACTCGGTTGGCAAGTGTTTTTCTTCGGGGCCTCTTATTAAAGGATTGTCTCAGGTAAGGGCGCGTAGAACATGCACCCTTGGTTCACAGGTTCACACCACGGGCATGGCGAGCACCGTGCCCAGCACAGAAAGCATGCCAGTAGGCCCTACAAAGTAAAGACACTCCAAACACTTTCGGATCACAAGGCAATAGAACTAGAGGTTTTGTATGAAAGTGAAAGATAAACAGGCTTTTCTACCTGAGAATGGTTGGTCACACACATAGCCAACTTGCTTAAATATCCATTGCCACTGACTTGATTGCAATGATTCCAACTCAGAGTCACCCGACAGGATAGAGTAGAAGCGCCCCAGAGGCTCTAAGGCTG